TTGTCTAATGTACATCCTAATTTCTTCTATCGTTGGTGGAGTGACATCTTTAGGAAGTTCTGTAAGTGCTGCTTCGATATTCGGGGGACTCAATGGACCCGGCCCACCAAAAATATTTTCAAAGTATTCTACCCATCTGTTCTTTTGTTCTTGAACCTCAGTGATTGGCCTACCTTCTTTGTCCTTGACTATTCTCTTTGGTTTACTATATTTCCACGCTAGCTTCTTTGTTGTATCGTACGGTTGTTGCGGCTTGTTTCGCTTTCTTTGCTAGCTATTCTATACATTTATTGTTGACAGTTCTAATTCTATGTCAGCTTATTCCATTGTTCTTCGGAACATTTTACTGATATAATCTCACTGGTTAACGGTGGTGTGATCCTGTGAGACCCATGTAGCCTTGTGTATGCCTGAGTTTGGGAATATTGTGCTACCTATAACCAGTTTGTTGAATGTACATAGATTTGTAAACCTCTCCCCTTTTTCATTTCTTTCTCCTAGTTCATATCTTCCCAAAATATGTTCATCCACGATATTGTCCAATCCGATTTTGGCGTTAAGATCTCGCATCGGAAGTGTCAGGTACTTTTCTGGGCACTTCATAATGATTGATTACAGCGTCTCATAAAACTAATCTATGTTGCTATTGCTATCATTGGTGGGTGCATAAGATTGGATTGAGGCATAAAGCCCATGATATTCACTGACATCTCGGTATATGGTGAATTAGTGACCAGAGGACATAACAGCTTATCTAGTTATTTAAATACATTTCACAATCAAAATACTAAATTGGATTATTTGGTCATCAACAAATATCATATCACATTGAAATATTTCATCTCATTTATGTGGTTGTGGTTTGTGTCTACGAGGTCAGTCTGCACTGTCATAATAGGTGATCTTGTTACGACAATATGAATTTACTTTTATTCAAAATCTTACGTTTTATTCAAATATGTTGACCCAGCCAGATCTGAAGAGAACTGAAATCGTAAAAGGACTTACATGAATGAACAACCCTAGGTAAACAACGAATGGATGGTTTAGTTACATTTAGTTACAGAATGTCTGACATAGTGAAGTACAATACAATGCATTACATTACATTACATCACACTACATTACACTAAAGTACAGTACAGTACAGCACAGTACAGTACACGAGAGTACAGTACAGTGCAGTAGTCAGTAAACGGTTGAACACAAATTTTTACAGATTATATTGCAAGTACAATGGTTTAAGTATGCAAGATAAACAAGAAAAACAAGAAGAAGATGAACAGGAAGATGGTGATGATGATGATGATGATAAAGAAGAAGAAAAGGAAAAAGAAAAAGAAGAAGAAGAGGAAGAAGAAGAATGGAAATTGGAAAATCGTTTGAAATAGTAATGGATGTACATAGACGATTGACTGACATTAGTGCAAACTAAATATGCAAATCTACCAATCCACTAAAATGCTCACCGATATCTAACATTCAACAGATAGATATTCAGCAAACAGTTTACTTAATAAGAACTTTCATTATGATGAGTGATTAAGATTATCATGAATTTTACGTAGTTCACAGTGTAAACTTGTCCGTTTACTTACCACAAACGTTCTTATTTATTCATGCGTAATCGTCTACAGTTTAGTGATTTGGGGAACATCAGATACGTGAAGAGACTTTGCAAACATAATAGTGCAATGAGATGCTTCGAAGAGAGAAGTTGAAACATTCTGGTTGGTGATGTTATGAGGCATTTGTAAGTTAAAGCTAATTAGAATAACTGAAGTTCCGAGAGTGTAGACTGGAACTGCAAATACACACACTGTGATAAAACGTATTTCACTGTTAAACTTGACTTAACTCTTTCCTGAGACGTCTGTCAACCGTTGCTTACTGACTGACTGCTGACTGACTGACTGACATTTTTATGGACAATGGACATACAATGCATTAATCAGTAACAATTAGCTAAGATCTACCGATCAACTTTGCATGGAAACACTTGCTTCTTTCGTTATGCCAACTACATATTCTCAAATGATATGTGTCATTTCAGTTCACCGAAATAAAATACAACTAAACTACCCTCAATCATATAAACCATGTTACACTGACCCTAATCACACTGGATATTCGAAACATTCCTCATTATGATTATGATTATTATTAATAATATGACCATGATAAACATGATTTCAACTTACAACAACACACTCTTCCTCCAGTCATATGGTCAGTTGAATTGATGATCTTTATCGTAGCGTTTTCAATCAGTTCAGAATACAGATTGCACCATTTCGGTTTGATCTGTAAATAAGGAGAAGTTTGAAAGGTAACGAATATCTGCAATTCATACATCAAATGGTTGATGGATGTAGCATTCCATCTAATAAAAATGGTAATAATAATAGCTCAAATGGGACACTTGACATCTCAATGAAACGCTCCATACAGTCAATAATTGCAAACGTTCCTTATTCTCTACAACTAATAATAACAATAATATTATTGTTAAGAATAGAATATGTTGATGTTGAGATGAATCGGTGATCATCAATTCAACTGGAAGTATGTATATATACAGTGATATATCAGTTAGACAATTACATATTTAGTGAAAATGTATGTTAAACTTACAATTTGATATGTGTATAGATTACACTGTGGATGAGATCGGCATTCAGTAAGGCAGTCTGATTTCGTTCGGACTATCTTCAACCAGTAGTTTTGTGAGAATGTCTTCTCTGGCAGTCCCAATTTGACTATCCATTGTGTGTAGTTGCAATGCATATTTGTATTACATTTCGGGCAGTGCTCACATGAGGATAACAATGTCGAATGATTTGTCACATTTGTTTGTGTGTGCAAACAATATGAAAGATGAATTGAAATGTATACAGTGATCACGAATGAATATTGAATCATTTGATGTAACTTGAAATGTATAAGAAATGGTGTATTGTTCGACAATAACAACAACTACCTCTGCTGCTGCTGCTGCTGCTGCTGTTTATATAGTGGAGATGAATCAATTGATTGGTGGAATTTCCCATATCCACAAATTGACCAATTGGGTGGTTGCTCATTGGAAATGAATAATTTCTAACCAGTTGGATGAACGCAAACTGTATTGGTCATTTCTTTCATTATGAATAGTCATTAGGGCTCTCACGGTGAGTTTCTTCGAGTTTACATGCCCATGTTTTGGTCAATTCTATGTTGATGTTAAGACAATTGAGGATAATGTGTCATTTACTTCGTCAATTAAGTCTACTTCCGATTCGATGTTAATGTGCCCATAACTGATGTTTGTGCGTGATTTAGTGTTGCACTCTGGTTAAACATTATTGCCTTAAGCTGACTTACTTATATTCTTCCCGAATATCTCAATGCAGTGACCATAACTGCTTCCTACATCACAACCAATAACAATTCAATATTGATCGTGTGATTGATTTGAACAGAGATCATTGCGTTTATCATCTTATCAACTCGCCACTGTGTGTCTGCTCTGATCTCACAGGAACGATGGCAACATTACTTAAATAGAATGAGTGATCCATGAGAATTAATCGATTGCCTTAACTGTTTCTTTTCACTTTGAATTTCAATAGTGGAGCATGTGATTTTCTCAACAGAATGTGTTGGTTTAATACAGTACTACTGTGCTTGATAAGTTTCCAAACAAATTAATCAGTTCTCTGATGTTGTATAAATGAAGCGAAAATTTCACGTTTCGATTAGAGAAGTAGTATGAGTTTGTAAGACAGTGAATATAAGACATGGGAGTGTGTGTGAATCAACCGACCTCCTTTGAAAATGTTCCGTACATATTCCGTCACCAATCGTTTCTCAATAAACCGACCATGACAATTTCCTATAGATTCCGAGTGACATCAAATAGTGTTCCACCTTCAAATTGACTACATCAATGAAATCACAGCACGGATCGTGACTCAGTAGGCTGACTTACGATGTTTATGACTTGTATTACGAAGGCAGCGTAGTTTCAGCTGATATATGCATGTTACTCCGAATACATACACACCTAAATTATAATTGATAAATGGGGTTGACAGTCAAGTGATAGAGGCTGTGACAATTTTCCAACGGAAATATTCTTATGCCAGCATCAACATTTTCCAATTTAGAATGCACACATCGATCTCGAATCAGTTTACTGATGATTTTCGAAAACGTTACAATCTCCAATCTGTCATTCGTGGTTATAGTTTCATCATGATAGACAAACGGAATAAATGAAACATGTGTGGTCGGTTAACTGTGTCCAACTACATTTTCTTCCGCATTGCTCAGGGTGATAATCAACGTTGGAACAGAACAACTTTATTTTTTCTTGTATTGACTTTCCACCTATTATACGATACAACAGACTCTGAATGAAGCAATCATTGTCGCACAATCCTACTATGATGAGAGATGTTTTGGCTGGAGATATGGTTGACTTTCAGCAAACAAACGATAACTCGTGTCGAATTCTTTCCACAAGTATGAAACGAGATCAGTTAGAATGTTTAACTTCAAACACTTTACTAACTTCTGCAACACAGTCAAATCATTATCATATTCCACCGTTTCCTTCACTCAGAATCTATTCACGTTTGACAACAGTCGATTGTTTGATGCTGCTTTGAACAACAGAATATTTTAATCAAACATGGGATGAAATTAAAAGTCTGTTTACAAATGAGAGACTTTCCCATCTCTACCACTACCTTGACTTTAACCTACAATGGTTATTTTGATCATCATCATTATGTTAGTAAGTAAACAACTGCATCCATTCATGTAATGGAATACGTACTCTAGCTAACCTTTGATTATTATTATTGTTGTTTTTGTTGTTGATGTTGTTGTTGTTTGGTGAACGCCTTCACACAAACATGAACTTCTTCTTCCCATAACACTAAATTGCACATTCGACATCTGCTTTCGTCATATTGTGGTTCACACATCCTTCCATTATATCAACATGTTTATTGTTATTGTGGTAAATAGGGCATTTTATTCCCATCATCATCATCATCATCATCATCATCATCATCATCATCATCATCATCATCATCATCATCATCATCATCATCATCATCATCATCATCATCATCATCATCATCATCATCATCATCATCATCATCATCATCATCATCATCATCATCATCATCATCATCATCATCATCATCATCATCATCATCATCATCATCATCATCATCATCATCATCATCATCATCATCATCATCATCATCATCATCATCATCATCATCATCATCATCATCATCATCATCATCATCATCATCATCATCATCATCATCATCATCATCATCATCATCATCATCACAGTTCATTTACAATAACACCCTGTGAAATTCAATTAACAACATGGTCTCGCATTCACTTTACAATACGAGATTCGGTTCGTTCACCGTTTTCATTACTTTCTCGTGTTCATCATTGCCTGATTTCCACATTCTCATCACTGAATGCAACTGTACACTTTCACAGTTGCCTCAATCACTACTTATAAGTACAACACAGAACAATATCGTGGGCTATTCTTATTAGGACGTCAATGAACTGGTATGATGATAAATTATCTTCAATCATCAATCATATATGTACATCATGATTTTGTGGAATCGACAGTCGACATTACTGACTATCGGATAATGAATGATGCAATGGATGAATTATTCATGTGATTGCAGTGCACGATGAATTCACAAACTGATTCTTCGATTGACTTTGTTTTGTGTAAAGTCAGTAGGACAACAGGTATTCTCTCTGCTCGTTCAATGACTAATACGTGTATTATACACTTCAATAATACATATTGGTTTAAATGCTCTGTGTGTTCTGCTAGCTTATTCTCCTTCTTCTCTAACTACTAATCATAATTACATGGTTCAACTGTGATGAACTGGTTCAAAACTCATTATAAATGAATCAATCAAATGAATGTGTTCAGTGGATGGATGTGGTTGAGAATATTCTATAGCAAGACAGATATCAGTATGTCTGCATTCAATAAAGTTATGGGTAACGAAACAGACTACTCAATACTGATAAGTAGTAGTGTAGAGTAATATACAAAACGCTAGTCAAACTACTCGAATGAACAGAATACAATGAAGCTAACAGAACACATGTCAATTGCAAATATGTTCAATTCAATCGCATGATTACTCTCATTCACATAGTATCAAGGAAAATGAGGCTTTGAATGAGACAGACGGTTACTTAATTGCAGAAGAAATATGATCAACATTTAGTGAAATGAACTTGACAATATGTTCCACTCATCCACAATAATCTGCATTCATTCAATTTCACTTTGTGGAAGGCTTCTTCAAGTTCAGGTGTTCACCTCATTCAATTCGTGGGTGCAACAATCGAAGAATGCAGTATGTTTTCACTAGTCTAATGACATGATGACATGATGTCTGATGTTAATTTTATAACACTTGTGTCTTGCGAAATTACCAGTTGACTTCATTCCAGTGCACACTTCACTCAGATATCGAGGTCTGCATAATCCAGTCGACCACCAGAAGAAAGAGGTAGGGAGAGTGTAAACAGCCTTGTCTGACTCCAGTCTTTACTTGTAATGCCACTGTCAGCTGTCCTGCATTTACGATCTTGCATTGTAGTCCGTCGTATCAGTTCCGTATAATGCTGACAATCTCCTCAGGAACTACATAGTGTCGATGAAGTTTCCATAACGTTCTCCTATCTACGCTGTCAAATGCCTTTTCTTAATCAATGAAGTTGATGTACAGTGACGAGTTCCACTCAACTGATTGTTCGACGATGATCCGTGGCGTCGCAATTTGGTCTGTGCACGACCGAAGTTGGGCGTCTACTGCGTCATTCATCCGGTTCAGCTACACTGTATCAAAGACTTTCCCGGGTACTGACAGTAGTGTAATGCCTCTGTAGTTTTCACATTTGCTCACATCTCCTTTCTTCGGAACCTTGATGAGGTATCCTTCCTCCCGAATCTTTCTGAATAGAAGGTGAAGCATGTTTGTAGTTACTTCGATGTCTGACAGCAGTGCTTCAGCTGGTATATTGTCGGGTCGTGCTGCTTTCCCGCTCTTGATGTGTCTGATGGCCATTCTGATTTCTTCGGTCGTTGGTGGATTGACATCTATAGGAGCCGGCCTATTCAGGTGTTCCTCGAAGTACTCTACCCATCTGTTCCGCTGTTGTTGAATTTCAGTGATTGGCCTGCCTTCTTTGTCTTTGATCGGCCTCTCGGGTTTACAGTATTCCCCTGCCAGTTTCTTTGTTGTATCGTCAAGCTGTTTCATATTTCATTCTCTTGCAGCTTGTTCCGCTGTCGTTGCTAGTTCTTTCACGTATTTCTGCTTGTCGGCTCTAATGATCTTCTTCACTTGCCTGTTTGCTTCTATGTACTCAGCTTGTGCTTGAACTTTGCCTGCTCGCATTCGGTCGTTGTTACTTGCTGTCTTCTTGTTCTTCCTTTATTTGATCCTGTCCAGTGTTTCTATAGAGGTCCATTCCGTATGATCATGCTTCTTGAGGCCCAGAACTTCTTGACACGTTGACGTTAATCCTCCTTTGATACCTTTCCAGTTGTCCTTCAGAGTAGTTTCTTCTTCTTTCAGTAGATACTGTAAGGCTTGGAACCTGTTGTTGAGAGCTATCTTGAATTCATTGAGTTTGACAGCATCTCGAAGGAAGGCTGTATTGAACTTTTGTAGTGCAGTTTGTCCTGTTGTCCAGTTCTTCTTTAGCTTCAGTTTTAAATCGGCCAAAACTAGGTGGTGATCTGAAGCTATATCAGCTGCTCACCTGATTCTCACATCTTCCATTGTCCTTCGGAACTCTTTATTGATGCAAATATGATCTATCTGGTTCTCTGTGGTGTGGTGCGGTCAGATCCATGTAGTTTTGTGTATACGTTTGTGTGGAAATATTGTTCCGCCTATGACCCATTTGTTGAATGCACACACATTTGCAAATCTTTCACCAATTTCGGTTCTCTCTCCCAATCTATGTCGTCCAATGGTCTCCCATCAGAATGGTGAGGTCGTTTCTTGAGCACTTCTCTGTGATTGATTGCAGCCTCTCATAGAACTGATCTTTAATGTCGTCGTTGCTATCATTGGTGGGTACATAACACAGGATAATATTCGCTGATTCCCAGTACTGCCAAGTTGTATCTCCTCATTTCCGATGCTATTTGACTGGTCTTCCCGGTCTCCCACATTGTCCAGACATTCCATGTACCAGTAAAAACTGTTGTTCTGGTTGTTAGAAGTAGCGTCGGCCTCGTGGCTTCCGAAAGAACTCGGCTTTCACTATGAGGCGTGATAGTTCTTCTAAATGAGGAGCTTCTAACTCCCAGGGCAGAGTTTAAATGGTTTGAATTAATTTCTGTGGTTAGCATTTGTCTAGCGAGTTAGATTTCTAATGGATGGCGTCGCTTAACACATGCACAACTCTCCTCCTTTACCCTGATTGGGACCGGTAGTAACTCTAGAAGAGCTACAGGCAGAGTTGTTTGTATCATATACATCGACTAATATACAGTAATCCGGATTCAGTGTACATTGGTGTTCACCATACCCATGCTTATCACATGCTGAATTGTGTTTCAGAGTACACTCATGATACGAAAACTTTTGATGTGAATCGAGTAGTTTATATCAGTTTGAGAAGTAAATCATTTGAAATTCCCATGCATATTTGTCCGTGATGTAAACAACAGTTATGAATATTAGTCAGTAAATATACGTACGATTCTACACATTTGTACGTTTCTACAAGCCTACGCTTACTACATTCAATGTCGACATTTCATTCTTTAAATGCAATTCACTAGAATACCCTGACTGACCATTCATTACTACAGTCTCTTGAATAAACAAAAATATTACAATGTACAACGTTACATTTTACACTTTAGATCAGTAAATCAGTTTGACGCGGCCAATTGAACAATTGTCAGCGTCAAACTAACTAACATACAACAACTGATTGAAGTATTTCCACTTCAAAACAATCATCTCGAATCATTCAGTTTCAGTGAGCTTGTCAAACAACCTTCATTTGAACACGCTTTCGATGAGAGTTTTGTCAGTTGAACATACTATACTTCGTAAGACTGTCAGCCAATTCCAATCCACCTACAAATTCGACGACACCACAACATGAACGCATACAGTATGGTACCCCAGTGATTCGTATGTTCTATTATAACACTACTGAAATAGTTGTCATGAAAGTTGACAGACGCATATGTAATGCATAATTGATATTCACTATGTCAAATATAGTGTGTTTGTTATTTACTATTCAATCTACTGATATCGGTGTTCATTTCATATTATTTGTGATGAGTAGTCTAATCAGTGATTAGAAATGATAATTCCAGTGGTTACTTCAATTCAGATTCACTCACACATTGTACATCTCATACTATTCAAATGATGATTGCACTCACCCTTGTATATCTATTGTGTATGAATAACATGAAAATGACTGAGATATGAACAACAGTTGTGTGTGGACACGTGGCACAAATCAGCAATGACAATTATGTAGTAGACTTGAGATGCCTGAAATCGAAACGGTGAACATCATGGAACCTTTCAGCCTAACACTATCTGGACATTGTTAGGATGATCGTTCGACTAGAATAGACATCTGTGATCATCCATCATATGTCCGAATCGATCATTCAATCATATCCTTACTTTCACATCATTGATGTTATGCTACAAACAATTGTGATGAGTTTGATTATTTCCAATATGTAAACGGTATCTGGCTTAAAGGTCTAGTGGTAAGTGTTGAACCAGAAGAAGATGGTCTCGTCGGACAAGCGAAGATCAGAACATCGAAATGGATAATCAATCACTAGAGACACGTAAACATTGCTTATTCGAAGGAGCAGACGATTGTGTAGTAGAATGTAGGAAGACTTTTCAGAGTGACTTTGCATAGAGCAAATTGTAGCATTGTCGTCTGTGAATGACTTCACGCTAAATATCTAATCAGTGATAGTAAGGAAGGAGATGTCGTCATTGGTGGTCGGTATTAAGCTTGTTTTACATAGTTGTTAATCGCTTCTCGTCCACTCTTTTGCGTATCATTTTATACTACTTATTTACATTCAGTAAATAGTTGTATCGCCAGCAATGTTTGCACCCAGGTTGTAACACAAGTTGTCGTGTAATATTCTCAATTATTTACCTATAATTATAATTATCATTGTCATTACTTCACCTCAATCACTGTAGCAGTTATCCAAAGATTTGTGCATTGTTAAAGGAAACAGTTTCCACATTGTTTTGTAATTTGTTCGGGTTTTGCATGT